GGACTGTGCCATGAGGAAGTTGGCTTTAATTTCTCTCAGAGAGACATCTAGTCGACCCCTGCCTTTGGTGAGAGTGTGGACATGGTGTATGTCTTCACTCACTGACTTCTTTGATTTCTCTTGGCAGCTGCATGGTTTTCAGTGTGGGGGTCTTAACTGTTATCTGTTGAAGCTTGGGACCTTTTCATGGATGTGTGCATATGTGTTCCATGTGTGTGTGGGCACACATGTTTGTGGATGTACATGTATGTGTTCGATGCACACATGTGTTCTCCCACTTGCGAGCAAGCACTCAGAGGTTGACATCTGGTGTCCTCTTTATTCACTGAGGCAAGGCCTCTCACTGGGCCCAGCACTTCCTGATGCTGCTTGGCTAGCTAGGCAGCTTGCTCTGGGAATCCCTTCTCCACTTCCCAAGCACCCGGATGGTGTGGGGTTTTATGTGGGTTCTGGGAGCCCAAACCCTGGTCCCCGTGCTTCTGTGGCAAAGCTTCATCTACTGAGCCATCTCTTCTGGGCATGGCTTTATTTCTGGTGTAAGTTAAACATGTTTCATTTTCCGCTTGTGCCTTGATGGTCAAGTTTTTCTCTATTAACCATCTCGCCTATAAACTCGCTCAGCGCACTCGCTGGTTCTAAGAGTCGTTTTACGATTCCCCAGAGGTGCTCCATATAAACAGTCACATCCTCTGCCAACTCGGACCACTGGTCTCCCCACACACCAGTCTTTGTGCTCCCCTCCCTCCTCCTGTCTTATGCAAAGGCGAGGTGGACCCTGGAGGAGACGGGATCCCGCTGGAAGCCTGAACCGTTAACCTCGCTCCTGGCTTGTTTTAATTTTATTTTTATATTTATTTACTTATTTGATGTCCGTGTGTCGTGTGCATGTCTGGTGCCCTAGGTGGTCAGAAGAAGATGTTGGATCCCCCAGAACTGGAGAGAAAGATGGTTGTGAGCCATCATGTAGGTGCTGGGACCTGAATTCTGGTACACTGCAAGAGCAACAAGTATTCTTACTTCCACCGAGCTGTCTCTCCAGCCTCCTGTTTTTTTGTTTTGTTTTGTTTTTTGAGGGGAACAATTGTGTCCTTCTCCTCTAAGTTGATGCTAACTGTAGACCCCACAGCGTCCTTCCTTTCATTTGTGGGCTTTGTCAATCTTGCCAATAGGATGCTTCAGATCTATTCATGCATGTGATTTTGTGACTATTCTCTTTGAATTAATTGCTGGAAAAATTAGGCCAGTCTCCTGCTTTCCTCTAAGCTGTGCCACAGTGTTTCTGAGAACCTTAGGCTTCAGTGTATACACACACACACACACACACACACACACACAAACATACACATACACACACACACACACAAACACACACACA